GAACCTGCGGGCTCAGGCAATCCACTCACCTCAGCCTCCCAAAGTGCTGGGATAACAGGCTGAGCCACCAAGCCCGGCTGAAAAATAAGTTTTATCAACTTTAGTGATGGCCAATACTCAGAGTTTCAGGAAAACAGGCACCTTGTCATACCTCCCACTCAAACCTACAGGTTACCAGACATAAGTGATTTTCATAGGACTTGGACACAAATCTCTGATACTTTGATCTGGAAGGGGTAGAAAGAATCATTTGGCTCTGGCCCAAACCTTATGTTTTCTCAATGGGAAAACTAAGGCCCAGAGTGAGTAATTTTTTTTTTTTCTTGAGTTGGAGTCTCACTCTGTCACCCATACTGGAGTGCAGTGGCACGTTCCCGGCTACCGCAGCTTCGACCTGCTGGGCTCTGGCAATCCCTCTGCCTCAGCCTTCCAAGGAACTGGACCTAGAGGTACGTGCTACCATGCCCGGCTAATTTTTTTTGATTTTTTTTAGAGATGAGGCCTTGCCAAGTTGCCCAGGCGGGTCTCGAGCCCACAGGCTCAGGCAATCCACTCCCCTCAGCCTCCCAAAGCACGGGATGACAGGCTGAGCCACCAGGCCACCCATCGTTGTAAGGCTGAGGAGTAGAGAAGCACAGAATGTTTATGGACAATGTATTACGAACCAGGTTCTGTTTGTTCTAAGCCCTTTCGATACACACATTCATTTCCACGCTCACTATCCATGAAGTAAGCACCTTCTTATCCCCACTTTGCAGAATGGAAGCCAGTGTACGAATGATGAAGCCGTCCGAAATCACATAGCTGATCGGCGGAAGGACCAGAGCCAGATCACCCAAACACAAGTCCGATATGCTCCTCTCATTTTCAAACACTTACCCCCCTGGAGTCGAGATTTCTCTTTCTGCTTGTGGATTCCGTAGAGGGATAGGAGGCACAATTCTGCTAATTCTTTCAACTTAGTCATGGTGTCCTCAGTGGCCCAGGAGGGTAAGGTGAAATTGTGAACACTCTGTAGCAAAGAAAAAGAAGGAAAATGTGTATTTCTATGTATGGCTGTCCTCTTGGCTCATTTTTGAGATCGTTTTTCACCCCACAAGAAGTGCTGGGGCCAGCCTTGCTTGCCTGCCCTTTCTGATAAAACTTTATGTTGTGATAAGTAACAGTACTGATTGTTAGGGAAAAAATCGCAGAAACTAATTTTCCCCTTCCTCCCGAGTCTAGAGCTTTGGGCTTAACTCTGGGTCGGTGGGGGATTCCCATTTTGCAGAGTGAGGCCGCAAAGAGCAAAAACATGCCTCATTCCTTTACAAAAGATTTAGAAATCCTTCTGTGAACTGTGGGAAAGACAAAAGCTGAGAGGACCCAATGATGCTTCCTTAAAAACTGAATGAGCTGCCCCAGAGGCCAGTGAGGAAAGATAGTCTATTTCTGGATCCTTCAGTGCCCCTCCCTACCAACCCCTAGTCACTGATGCACACAGTGGGTACTTGGTAAAAATACTCGTCAAAAGGGTGAATAGCTGCAAACAGGGGAGGCAGAGACCTGTGCCGGTATTTATGGCCCGTTCGGAAGAGCTGATTAGAAGTCCCCCAGTTTCAAAGGCTGGACTGAGAGAGGGAGGATGAAGTCATGAAAGAGCAGACCAAAGTGAAGTGACCTATGGAGGAAATTAGTGAGAGAGATGTGAAAAAGATACACAGCTATTCGCATTTTGGAATAGCTCAGATCCCTCTGTGGTACAGGAGGAAGAACACGGCTGGAACTAAAACGTGGATTCGTTTCCATGGACAAGACTAAAGGCCAGCGAATCATCGACGAAACAGAGACTGAAGAAGGGGAAATGCTGGGACGCAGCATGTGGTCGGGTCGATTAGCTTTAGGATGAACGGCAGCAAACGGTGCCATCTGGTGTTGAGACAGAACTACGGAAGCAACGGCTGCCCCTCAACTCCCACGATGATCTCAAAATCAGAAGCGGAAACGTGTGGGTGGTTGATCAACGTTTTGCCCAGGGCTCAGTGAGCGAGTTGGGAAAACAAGAAGAGAGAACACTCTTTCTGGCCAGAAGGTGAAGCATGGTGAGCAAAAACATTATGCGGTCTTGAAAAACAAAATCATGGCCGGGTTTGGCCCAGCCTGCCAACCCAGCACTTTGGGAGGCTGAGGCAAGTGGATTGCCTGAGGCTGCGGGTTTGAGATCAGCCCCAGCAACTTGGTGAGACCTCATCTCTACAACAAATAAAAAATTAGCTGGGCGTGGTAGTGCACGCCTGTAGTTCGGCTACTTGGATGGCTGAGGTGGAAGGATCGCCGGAGCCTGTTACGACCCAGGACAGGAGCGTGCCACTGCCCTTCAGCCTGGGTGACGGAGTGAGACTTGGACTCAAAGAAAAGAAAAGCCGGGCTCGGTGGCTCAGCCTGCAATCCCGCACCTTTGGGAGGCTGAGGTGAGTGGATTGCATGAGCCCGCGGGTTTGAGACCCGCCTGGGCAGCGAGACCTCATCTCTACAATAAATTAAAAAATCAGCCGGGCGTGGTAGCGC